GGTTGTTTGAACTTTTTAAACAGCCAATGTTTGGGTAAAAAAAACTTTAATACAAGCGCGACAGAGTTATTTCTGGTAGAATATTAGTCTATACAAATTATCAAAAATATAACTATAATTTCATGTGATTCATAAAAACGACTAACATATTAGTGGTTTATATATAAACTACAATTTAGTAACAAAAACTACAATTTCATGTATAATTGTTCATTGGCTTATTAAATATCTGAATATGCAGAAGTTTAAAATACTCTAAATAAACACAGGTACTTCTGATTATGGTAATAATAGTCTGATATAATTGTCAAGCAATTCTAATACATTTGGAGAAGTATTAGAAACAGTCAAGCTTATTGATATGCCAACATCTTCGGCCATTGTGGAGCGTAAAAGTATAATTATAACAGAACATACTCCAAAAATATTGAATAAGGAAAAGTTTACCAAGATAAGCAAACAATTGTCAGTGCAATAAAATACTTTGTTGTCATAAATAAGTTCAAATTTAGGATGACAATGACCAGTGCAACAAGGTAAGAAATACATTGTTGTCTTTATCTGTCTTCCAAAACATAATATTTATAGATTGTATTTTTTATGTATCTAAATTGTATATAATTTATTCTGAATATGTTATTGTACTTCAATATTCTACTGTCTTCATGATAAATATTCCATAACATTAGCATTATTTCTCCTCTATAGCTATTATCTCATATGTGTTGGTGACAAATGTACATGGTACTTTAAGTCCACAAGCATAAATGAATCAACACTATTTAAGGTTAGAAAATTCGACAACATGCAGACATGATCATTGATGGACAATACATTTATACAATGCAAAGCTACTGCCATGGTAGTTGGCAGCATTGTCATGCCAAAATATGCTGATCCTAAGACAATATACACACCAAAAGACATGATAACAGACATGTTATTGGAACATGGTGTAAATTTAAAATACATGCAAGCTTGGAGAGCAAAGAAAAAAACTGTGCAATTTTTGAGTGGTGATCCTGCTGAATCATAAAGTGTCCTGCCGAGTTACTTATACATTTTGGAGAAGACTTGTCCGAGATCGGTAGTGAAACTGCAAAAGACTGCAAATAAATATTTCATGGATGCATTTGTTGCTTTTAATACATCCATAAGGGGTTGGGAGTATTGTAGGCCAATTCTTAATCGATGACAACTTCTTAAAATCAGCATATAGAGGAACCATGCTAACAGCTAGCACAATGAATGCATCATGTATATTTTACTCACAGTTAATATGTTGTTCACTAAGTGTAGATTAATTGTATGTTTGTTGAATTCGAGTTGATTATGACTTTTATGTTTGTTGTATTCAAGTTTTTACTGAATTGAATTTATTGTATTTATGCTATGTGATAAGTAGCATATTACCACTTATTTATGCCATAGTTGATTCAAAAAATGATGCATCATGAATATGATTTTTTGAGCAGTTCAAACATGTATATTATAACAACTCAGCTGGTCGTTTTGAGTATTTTAGCCCATTTTTCCTATTTGATGCCTTACTTATATGTATTTGTGATCAAAAAAATTATCTGGGTGGTTGGTTTGATTTTGGGAAGGTTTTGATTGAATTGGGAAACTTAGCCCCAAGGTTGAAAACTTAAATTGTGAGAGTTTACCGGAATTTAACTTTTATGTAGATGATTCCGGAATAGTATTTTGAAGATTCCAATAGCTTTGTATGGTGATTTTGTACATGGGCATCTGTCCGAATGTGGATTTGGAGGTCCATAGGTTGATTTAGTGATATTTGGCGAAAGTTAGAAAGTTGAAGGTTTAGAAGGTTCATAGGTTTGACCGGGAGTTAACTTTGTTGATATCGAGTTCGAATTATAGTTTCGGGAGTTGGAATATGTCCGTTGTATAATTTGGGACTAGTGTGCGAAATTTGAGGTCATTCTAGGTTGATTTGATATAGTTCGGCATGAGTTTTGGAAGTTGAAAGTTCATTAGTTTCCCTATGCTTGAATTGAGGTGTGATTCGTGGTTTTGATATTGTTTTGTGTGCTTTGAGGCCTCGAATAAGTCCATATTATGTTTTGGGATTAGACGGGGTTCCGAGAGCCTCGGGTGTATTTCAGATGAGTCTCAGATCATTTTGGTTAAGTTGAACTAGGCTGAAGATTTCCGGGCCTGGTGCTATCGCTCTGCGATTAGGGGTGCGCATATGCGATGGCGCATCTGTGGAGTTTCATAGCATAGATGCGGAGAGGGAAGATGGGAGCTTAGTCCGCAGATGCGGATAGGATTTCACAAAAGAGGATGTGCTTCTGCGAGGACGTGGCCACATAAGCGGAATTTGGCTGGAGGAGCAGGGAGCTGCAAATGTGGGAGGCTTAGCGCAGTTAAGGGACCGTAGAAGCGGGTCCGCAGGTGCGAGAGGATTGACCGTAGAAGCGATAGGTCGGAACTTAAGTGGAACACGCATATGTGGGATTTTGACCGCAAATACGGCACCGTGGGTGCGGTGATTTGGACCGCAAATACAGAATCGCTGGGCAAAACATTAAATATCGAGGGTCTGGTTGTGTTCTCATTTTTTGGAGTTGTGGAGCTCGGTTGGAGGCAATGTTAGGAGGAATTTTCATCACAATTGAAAGGGTAAGTGATCCTTACTTGATTTTGGTGTTAGACATTGATTACCCATAGATTATTACACCTAATTTTCATGAATTAAAGGTAGAATTATATTTTGGGGTTTTTTTACTATGATTTTGAAGAGTGAGATTTGATGATTTGAGGGTCGATATGAGGTTAGAATTGGATGAAAAATATATATTTGGACTCGTATCGGAGTGGGTATTCAGAATTTGTGAGTTTGGTCGGGTTCCTGGGTACGGACCCGAGGTTAACTTTTTGGGTTAACTTTATGTAGTTGATTAAAAATCTTAGCTTTATTATTTGGGATTATTTTCTTAGATTAGTGCTGAAAAAGACAAAGGCAGCGGTAATCTGGATAAATCCCTAGTTGATAAAAGTAGGGCTGTTTATCGGGCGGATTGGGCGGTTATTTACTCTTAACGGTTTAGCTTATCGGTTATCGATTTTTAAATGTATTAATCCGCCAGCCACCTGATAAGATATCGGGCGGACTGGTATCGGTTTAACTATTATCGGGCGGTTATCGGTTTAGTTTCAGTTGATTAAAATTTAACATACTTCAACACAGTGTTGGGGAGTACATCCCCGAGACAACAATATAGTCAACATTTCTCATACATATATATCAACTAAATTACACCATGAGGCCATATTACTATAATCAAATACTGGATATCAAACACTTCTTTTATCTTCTCATACTACATTCAAGTGGATGGTAAGGGATTGAGAAGTGCACAACAGAATACATCAACAGTATCATTTGAATAGATTTCTTATTGTTTAAGAAGATGACAAACTGTTAAAAAACAAAAACACAACTTGGTTAAGATTGAACTTAACCAATTCGATAATCCAGCTGCGAAGTTCGCTACCATGTCCTCTATCAAGATGATATGCTGGCAGGCTTCCATCGAGGTACACTATTTGATGTCTCATAAACAAATAAATACTTAGTACTCATAGAAGTCTGCATGTGATTCTCTTTACTCTCTGTTACTTAATGTATTGTGCAGTGACACTGTGAACTATGGTGATGTTGATAATAAGTTCTTTTTGAGCCATAATAGTAGTCAACATTGCTAGCAAAAATAACAAGAAGTTGGTTGCCATCCTGCAAGACATTCAAATCAGTTGTTGGTTCGTGCTTATTNTAATCCGCCCCCAAACCGATAAGCCGTTAATAAAAAAATTTTAATCTGTTCCCCGTCCGTTAAATCGTTAAACCGATACCAATAAGCCATTAAGTTTCGATTTCTATTCGGTTTTCGGTTTCGATTCGGTTTTGAACACCCTAGATAAAAGGCAGCAACACATAGGAAGCAACCTTTTGCAAAATTGAACGATGCTTGCTTGCCTTATTAAAATTGATGTTGCATACAAGTCAGATATGTTATAGTATATCATATTAATAATCATATTATCTCAATATTAGTTTTTTTAACAAAATTATCCACTTATTAAAGTATTACAAAGCATCAAAAGCCGTTGAAAAGTATGTTTCGAAAGGGAATAATAAAGTCAAGTGATCAGGTCCTTTGCCTTGGGTCAATTCACGTGCTTGCGGCTTCCTGTTTATGCCTTTGTTTAGTTAGTTACGTATTGCATGTTTGTTGAAATTCATTTTTTGAACTGTGTAAGTTAATTGCCTATCTATAGTAGTCACTCTCCACATCAATATTTTCAATAAGTGTCATAATTCCTTTTTGTTTAATTTATTTTGTTAATTTGTTTGTTTCACATTTGGGTTTCTATTGAAAGTTCAGTTTGAATTGTACCAAATATATTTAATGGACATGATTATACCCGTAATATTTTCACAAAGGGGTTGCATAGGGATAGAAGTTTAAAAATATTCTAGAGTGTTACATCTATCGTTTAACACAATAAAGAAAAAACGAAAAAAAATGCATAGACCTTCAATAAATATTTAGCAAGTAAAATAGGGATAAATACAGAACCATGCTGGAAACTGGACCCCTGGTGAGACTCATTTATCGTTGAAAAAGAAAGGTAACAAAATGACACAATAGCACATATCAGCATTTTGGTTTAGCATGGACACATTTTCCTTATTAGAATGATTTATTTTTATATTTAAAATAATTAAACTTAAAAAAATTTATTTTACTTTTAATTAGAAGTATTTATAGACACACAAATATTATGACCTCATAAACCTTTTACTCATTAAGTTTAAGATCATAAATTTCAAAAAAATAAAATCTTAAATTGTATGTCACATAAGTTGAGAAGAAGGAAATATTATTTTGTGAAATGATAAACAAAAAGTAGCACGCTAAGGTTTATGGATTAGAGCCAGAGGATGCTTCGTTTCTCCACCCCAGAAGGCTCCTATGAAACCTCTTCTCATCTCAAATTTCTGACCTTTATAACTATCCTCCCCGCACTCTCTTTTTCCACTCAATCAACTCAATATTCTCCCCACTTTGAATATATATAGCTGAAATTAGATTCTTCAACTCTCTTTCCCTCGTTTTATTAGCAGATCAAAAATGGCCTCACCACAAGAGAATTGCACTACACTTGATTTGATAAGGCAGCATCTTTTTGATGATGCTGCTTTTATGGAATATTACTGCTCTGAACCTACCACCCTTTATTCCCAAAACTCCTCCTCTTCTGAATCTCTGGACCAGAGTTTCTCTTTTGAACCAACTCTCAACTATGCCGACACAGCACAAAGTTCCAGTTTTGAAATCTCTAGCTTCTTTGACAATTCAAAAACAGAGTTTGACTGCTCTGAGTTGGAGACAATTCAAAAACAGAGTTTGAATTCTCGGAAGCAAACAAGCTTCAAAGAACGCAAGCCTTCTCTGAACATTGCGATACCAGTGAAGCAGCAGAAAGTGGAAGTAGTTCCAAGAGGGAAGAAGCATTACAGAGGAGTTAGGCAAAGGCCGTGGGGCAAGTTCGCAGCAGAAATTCGTGACCCGAACCGAAAGGGGACTCGGGTTTGGTTAGGAACCTTTGACACTGCCTTAGAGGCGGCCAAGGCATATGACAGGGCAGCGTTTAAACTTAGAGGAAACAAAGCAATAGTGAATTTCCCTCTCGAAGTTGCAAACTTTAAGCAAGAATATAATAATGAGATTCCACAGTCAGCTAACTCAGGCCGGAAAAGGGTGAGAGAAACAGAGAATGAGGAGCAACTCGTTATCAATAAGGAAATGAAAATAGAAGAAGAAAGAGTCCCTACGACTCCATTAACGCCGTCAAGTTGGTCGGCGATTTGGGACAGTGGAGATGGGAAGGGTATATTTGAGATGCCGCTGCTTTCCCCATTGTCTCCACATTTGCCTTATTCTCAGCTTGTCATTATATAATCAAAAGGACACCGGTATATATACATATGCACCTGACCGTAAAGAAAGTCTGAGGTGATTCCCTGAATTGGGATTAGGACTCAATAGAAGATGTGTAGAAGAGGGGTGTCTTTGAGTCTTGAATTCTTTTCAATTTCATTGATTAAGCGTTAATTCTTGTAAATATGCAATCAATCAAAAAATTTGTTCACTTCATCTATTCAATTTATAAAATGGAATTCTGAAACATATGAATAAGGTTATCTCTGGCAACGTAACTGCTGCTGAAAGGACAATTCTTCTCTCTTAAGAGAAAGTTTGTATCTTCCTGAAAACTCCATCGGATTTGATCAAAAGTCATCCCCTCGCACGATTCAGTTGAAACTACTTCGTGTTATATTATTAAGCTACCGTGAATTCTTTAACTTAATTACCAACATTGTTTTAGAAAGCGTGGGCGTAAGGCGAGGCGTTTTACATATGCCTCAGCAAGGTGTAAGTCTCATAGGTATTTAATTTTTAATATTTTATAAAATAATATAATTACAGTAAATATTTATAAACAGGAAAAATTACATAAAAATTAAAAAAAATTATAAATATGTGGGAATATATATATATATATATATATATATATATATATATATATATATATATATATATATATATATATATATATAGGTGTGTGTGTGCGCGCGCGCTTTATCCCCACAAAAAAACTAGTCAAAATAATTTATTATACGCTACTTACAAATACAAGTAACTTGAGTCGAAAAGAATAAAATTTTCTACATGGAGGAACAAATAGGATGACTAACCTGCAATTTGAAATTTGAACTTGCTGCTATGAAAGAGAATGAAGTTCTCTTTGTATTTGTAAAAAAAAATTGAATATTCGTTGCTTTGGGAGATATTAGAAGACTAGCGAACAAGATAAAGAATTGGGAAAGACCATAAATTAGGGCTTTAATCAATAAAAAGGTCTTGACTTTTAAATTTGATATATTTCAGTTCCTTTTTAAAACTTTTGAGTAATTACAAACTGACTTTTGATAATTCGGTTATTATATGAAGGACTTATTCAGCAAATTTTATTTTAATTTGAAAAGGTATCTGGGGCTTACGCCTCACTACAAAAATGCGTCTCAAACGCCCGGACGTATGTCCCGAATTGCTGGGCGTACGCCTCTTGAGACTTCGCCCCACACCATCACCTCGGGGCATTTTTGGTGCGCCTCGTCCCAGGACTTGCCCCGGAAATGAATTTTAAAATACTGATTACCAGTAAAAATAGAGTTTTACATCCACACAGAAATAATGAGAAACTATCACTGATAAACAGGTAAAAGTCAAATTAAGTTAGTGCTTTATGGGAATACCGTATAGGGTAAAATTGGTTAGCGATCGTTGGACGAATGATGGGATGAAGAACTGAAAACATGTAAGATGTGAGTTAGCAAATAGCTGGCACCGGATACAAACATGTGACCGGTGCTGAGCGAATCCCGAAGGCATCGAATTCGAGAACAAAGATTTGAAAGAAAGACATTGGTTGGAAAGACAACATTCAATGAGGACCGTTACAAGGAATCTCCGTATTTATGACCAATCGTTATGCAGCATCAATGGCGGTTTTATTCTCATTCAATAAGAGTTTGATTTGGGGATCTTGTCTCCCTAAATAGAGCTATAACTAGGGGAATTAGCATCCATTGTTAAAATAAAAAAATAAAATAAAAAAATTGTACTAAAACACTATAATTTGATCGCTTGTATAAAATTGCTTTCTTTACTTTATTCTTAACATTGCTCTTGTTATTGCTATCGGGGAAGCTAAACACTTAGCCAGGCTTGTATTTCTTTCAAAATAATTTTATAATCTCATTTCATTTCTTATTTATTTCATATTTTGTATCAAACTAACTAAAGTGTCTATAAATCACGTTATAAATTCAACAATACCGTTTTACAGGTAAATAGTTTGGCGCCTACCGTCGGCCATAGATAATTGTGTAATTGCTTTGAGCTATTCATTTGTTACTAACAAATTTTAATTTTTTTCTTAGCAAAAGAAAAAATAGATATGGCAGCTAAAGATGTCAATAATTCCTACAATGTTTGAGCGCACAATGAACGTGAGGAGGTGTTCTAACATGATAATTCGACTAGAGAAACCCTCAATGAAGGAGATAAAACAACTCCATTTCGCAAGGTCAAAATCCTAGGCAGATGAGAAGTCCAACTGAAGTTCAACTCCTGATGATGCGGATGACGAACACATTGTGAAAACGGTCAAAATCTTGAGAGAACAACAGAGAACAACATAGGGCGCAAGAAGGCCAACGGTACCCTTATACCAATGATTCTCGTAGAAATTATCGAGCTTTAACCGCCTGCCGATCTAGTGCAAAGTTCTTTGAAGGTTGTAGCCTGTTTTTGCAAATATGGCTGGTAGAGCATCTCTGCCGTCGCCCGAGGACATGAATCACGAACTGACCGGACTCAATTACATTGAAGAGTATGAAAGCATGGTGAATGACTATGAGTTACCAGAGGGTACTAAAACATGGTTCGCATATCTGGGTTCTTTAACCGCGAGGCAAATTGAATGGACTTTCAGCTGGCTCTCGGTTAACGAAGTCATCTTCATGTCCGCCGAAGTGTGCTTTCTCCTATTGATGGGTCTTCGAAGCATTCAGCCATATGCTCTGCATCAGGTCCTTCGCCAATTAGGAAGGTATCAAACAATCCCTCACGATGAATATTTGAGTACACAGGTCATTGAGCTAGGCCCAAAAGTGGCATTCCCAGAAGAAAGGGTTCGCCAGGTTTGGCACCAATGTAGGTTTTTGGAGCCACATACTCAGGTGCGGGATTTGTCTTCTGGCGAAGCAGAGTCTAATTATAGGGTGTGGTATGGTAAGAGAGCCCGGGTCGATCAAGAGCCAGAACAACCTGCCAAAAGGCCCCATGTCCAACAATTCACTGACGGAGCGCAAGAACAATGGGTTTGGTTAGCTAAAGAAAAGGAATATCGGACCACCATAAGTAAACTAGAAGAACAAATTAGAAACATCAAATTTGATAGTAATTTGCAGGCTGCTGAGGATGAAGGAGAAAAGAAGAGGTTGGCTCGGGAAAATGAAGTCTTCTGAGCTCAAATCTAGAAAATAAAAATAGCCCCCGAAACGCCGGTAAGAAGTGAGAGGGATGAAAGAATTATAACCAACCTAAGGCAAAAAGTGCATGACTACGGGTTTGATTTGACAAAGGTTGAGGAGGAATTGGCAAAAGCTCAAGCAAAGTTGGCTAAGAGTGCAGAAGAACGGGCAAGGTTTGCTCTCCTGTTAAAGCAAAAGTACGATAGAGGAGTCATAATCTTAAAGGGAAGGCTGACTACCCTCGAAAATGAAATGGTTCAGTAAACCAAGGACTTCAAAAAAAAAAGGGAGCAGTGTTATGCCTTGATCTACCAATTAGAAGAGAGTGTGCAGAAGTTGCAAGACCACGACAACACTGCCACACAGGTGCTAGAAGCCCAGACACAGCAAATTGGACGTTTGCTCCAAGAAAAGGGTGTCATCAGAATAAGAATTAAGGAAATAGCTGATGTCCCGCGGGCCCCGGAGTAGCAGTGGAGACTCTTAGTTATTTTTGATTTTTCTTTTTTTTATTCTGTATTTTACCTTTTCTTGAATCTGTTCTTCTTTGTCAAGTCAATTTTGTTGTTTTATTTCGAGTCTGTATGTTTTGTTTTAGTCATCAGTACTTCCGAGTCATTGTAATAGAAAAACCCAAAAAAAAAAGATGTCTTTATTTATGAAATATTGAAAACCCAAAAAAAAAATCTTTTTCTTTTATTTTGCATTTATCTCCTGAACTACGTAATGATCTGATTCATGCGGCGTCATGATACGTAGGCAATCCCCATAGAATTCGATCATAGCCACAAAAAAAAGAGAAAAGAGAGGAAAAAAACAAAAGGGGAGAAAAGAGCCAGAAATAAAAGAGTGAAAAATAGTAGAAAGGAGAAGGAAAAGAAATCAAAGGTTGAAATTTGTGAAAAAGATAGCAAAAGCTGGGATGAAACACACAGCCGTTGCAAAAAATATTTAGAAACGTTTAACTGTTCAGGTACATTGCATTCCCAGTGTGTGATTCCCTATCTGTTAAATGCTTCAAAACTGACAAGGTTGTTGTGCATGCTATTTAGACAGGTCTTGTTTTAGGTGGTTGGTTTTGACGGTATTATGGCTTCCCACCCTTACTTTACAAGATCAAAAGGGAGTGTCCCAATGTCTTGAGAAATCAGTCTCCGCATCATCGATCCTCAGGATAGTGCCACACCAGTTATGACCCAGCCTGAGTCGACAACTGTCGAAGAAAACCGGATGTTGCGTGTCCGCATGTTAGAGATGTGGGTCGCCTAGTCCAATGGTAGAAAACCACCAAGTTCAATCCCCGAATTTCCTGAACTGATCCCTAGGATGGGTGGAACCACCAACATCCCCATCCTGGTGACTAATCCATTTGTCCCTCTCGGGTACCCCACTATGTCAGCCAAATTTACCGGTACGCCTTCTGAGGTTTGGCCCCAGGCACCGTTTACAGGGGTACCCCCAACATTGCTCACTGCACCACCAGTCTTTACCATGGCACAACCGACCGCACCCAGGCAATGCTTCGAGCCTTCAACATTCACCTTTCGGGGCCTGCAATTTCAGCCAGATACAACTCATGTTACTCCAGACTCATACCCTCAGCATCCATAATATGAGTCCCCAATGTAACAAGAAAGAATAATGAGAAACCTCGAGCAGGAAGAAATGGCTCGGAAGATGAGAAGCCTAGAGCAGAGCTTAAAAACATGTAGGTCCTGAGTGGCCAGAAGAGTGTCTCGTACTCCGATTTGTGCATGTTTCCACATGTTCACCTGCCAGTTGGATTCAAGACGCCAAAGTTTGAAAAATATGATGGGCACGGAGATCCGATCGCTCATCTGGAATGATACTACAATCAGTTGAGGGGTGCTGGTGAAAAAGAAGAGTTATTGATGGCTTATTTCGGGGAAAGCCTGACTGGAATCGCTTCAGAATGGTACATGGACCAGGAAATCTCCCACTGGCACATATGGGATGATTTGGCCCGCAATTTTGTCAGACAGTTTCAGTACAATGTGGATATAGCTCCAGACAGTAACTCCTTGTCTAACTTAAAGAAGACAACCACTGAGAGCTTCCATGAATAAG